TTGGGCTTTTCTCAGTTTCGAATGTGTCATTCAACAATTATTTATTGCCATTGATAGATTAAAAAAAATGCACACGACAGAATTGCTTGCCTCTAGAAGCCCACAGAGGTTTGAGAGATCAAGACTAACACATTCAAAACAGACGTAGATTATATCAGGGTGGGGATTAAAGTCAACCTTTTCAGAATTTGGCCATGGCTAGCGTCTTTGGGAGACACAGGACAGCACAGAAGGAAACCCAGGAGTGGCTAGGATGGGATGCTCCTGGAGACAGGGGCCGAGCTGCCTCTAGCAGTTAAGAACCAAATGAGAGATGGGAAAATTTCAAGCTGTAGGACTGACACGAATCAGGTGGCTTCTTACCTGCAGGTGAATGACCATTTCCTCCTCCATGAAAAAAACATTAAGCATTACTCTGTGTCAGGAACTAGCTAGTTTAACAGAAGTAGGTCACTTGAGCCTCCCAATAACCCAGTGAAGTAGGTACTATTATTACCCCCACTTTCTGGATGAGAAAACTAAGATATCAGCAGGATCTAGCCACAGGGCCAGGCTCAACAGGGCACTTTAGGGCCAGACCCCTGATTATGTGCTCAGCTGCTCCCTGTGGGGCCTGGCTGAAGTGTTGGACAGGACTTGGCAGCTGAGAACGTACTGGAGACTGAAACAAAAATAATGGAGGGCAGCCTGTGGCACTGGAAGGATGTCCCCAATATAGAACCAGGGACAAAAAGCCACATCAGAGCACTCCTGTCCAAGACCTCATGGCAGCAGAGCCAGCATGACCCCCGTTCCATCCCAGTAACATCAGCTGCTGTGAGTGATGGACACAGCAGAGGTGTGCAGCTTCCCTGAGCCTTTTGCTGACTGAATGTCTGAACAACCCTATTTCCTACTGATTGTACACCATAGGCAGATCATGGCCATCCCAGTTTTCAGAGAGTCCCAGGAAGAGAAGACCTGAAGCTGGTGGGTAGAGAATATATCAGCAAAAGAAATGTTGGTGGAATTAACTAGCTGGTAACTTCCAGAAGGGATCACAGAGGAATGTTAGATAGAGTGGGATAGAATCTGCTTGCTTTGGAAACTTCCAGAAAGGAGGAAGGGAAGTGGGGCTTCCAGGAAGAGCCTGAACTTGAGCTAAACATTGCAGAAATTGTGGAAGCAAAAGAGGCTAGGTGGGAGCCACCCAGACAGCTAATGGGGACGACTCTGGCACATCCACAAGGCTGTGTGGGGACCCGGTGGTCAAACCAGGACAGGGAGAAGACCCATGTATGGTAGGGGCAAGAGGACTTCATTGTCAGCCTGAGTAGAAAGCTGCTGTGCTTTAACCACAAATCCTTATTTTACTTCCTCCATGTAGAGCTGAAGCAAAAAGAAAGAAAAATAGAACTCTGATCTTCCTTGTATAAGAGACAAAACTTCCAAAATAGCTAATTTTTGCAGTCCAGCTCCTTTGATAAAAAAAAATTGTGTGCATAGGGATATTTAAATGAGATCTATATCTGGTGAGAACAGCTTAGTGTCTCTGAAGTGTTTGCAGCCACAGCGTCCTGTGGCCACAAGCTTGCAAATGCTTCCCCCAAAGCTCAGCCCACGGCCTGCTCGTCCACCTACACTGAAGCTGCTGCTCTCTCTAGAACAAATAATACTATGTCTTTCTCCGGGCCATGAAGGCCTGGTAACATTCCTATATAAAATACCAGCAGCGAGGGGCCTTTGTTGAATTAAACAGGAGGCAGTGAATCAGGAGCTGGGTAATGAGCTCTGACTGCTTGGCAGATACCAGGCACAGGAGCAGAAATAAGACCTGCAAGGAGCTCAGGCTCAGGGAATCCACAGCAAGGGCAGCTCTGGGGACTAGGGGGACTGTAAGGGTGATAGACTCAAGTCCCACATCCTGGGAACACTTCCCCAAACCCACACCCTCCAATCCCAGTCCAATCAGGGGCCATTGTCATTCACCCTTGGTGGTGGTGGGGAGGGGCTGTAGGATTTCTTTCCTTTTCATTTAATCCCTTGCCTCCATTCCACCCTTACAAACAGGCTGTTGAAATAAGCTAGCGTTTAAAATAACAATAAAGATCGATTATGTAACTAACAATAGCGACCTTTACAGTGAGTTCCCACCAATGCTAATGAATGAAGTCTGGCTTTCCCAGGTGTACAGCCAGGTGGAGGGCTACTGCAGAGGGTCTAGGATGTCAGAAGAAAGCAGCAGAAGGAGGCTGCCCAGCCCTGATGTGTTCCTGGGAGTGTTTCAGCTCCAGGGCTGCTCTCTTCTGGCTGGTGAGCATGAGACTTTGAAGCTCCCAAGCCCAGGCTTGCTGAGGAATTGTCTTCTGAACCTCACCATGGAGACCCCACAGTCCCAAGGGGCACCGTGGTGGGAAGCAGGCAGCACACAGAAGCGGCATGGCCACACTGCTGGCACGGTGCATCTTTCCAGGGGACAGCCAGGTGCAGATGTCCTCTTCAGTGGGCCTGGGAACCCACGAGGGTCCTGCCTACCTATTTCCAGCCTCCTGGCCTTGCTTCAACAAGTTGCTCCTGGGTTGTTTTCTAGGCTGCTGCTCCCTGGCGGTCCTGGGTTTCCCATTTGTCACCTCCGTGAGAAAATTTAACAGTTTTGCCAGACCCCATATAAACAGGAAGGCAAGCTGTTAACAAGAGCCTCCTGCCCTGCTGCCAAGCCAGAGCGAGGTTTCCTTCCTCCGAGCCTGTCAATGGTGAGCAGGAGGAAAGCGGAGAATGGTGTTTCCTGGGCACTGGATGGGCTCCCTTTTGACCACTTGAATGCCAGTGCCAGGGCTCGCTGACAACTGGGTCTGCAGCTGGCTGGTTTTGTCTCTTTTTTTTGAGGGACAGCTACTGATTAAACCAGGAACAAAGCAAGACTACAGTCGTGGCTATGCACACCAATCACCAATGCCACTCAACAGCAGAGAACAATTAATTGCCGCGTTGTGGAATGTGTGGATGGGGGCAGGGAGGCTGTTGGAAAGTGTAAGAATGTGCAGGGAAATGCCAAGCAAGTGCTTGTGCTCATTAGAAACTGAGAGAGGGAACCCGCTTTCCACGTGTTCTCAGGACCTCCCACAGTGGCACAGCCCTGGTCACCCCCTGCACATTCTGCAGCCTTCCTAACTGGGGGAGGGGGGGGGTCTGGCACACGGATGAACTGCAAATGGATCACCCATTGCCGAGAAGAAGCCCCTCAGCCTTTGGGATGGTGGATTTATCCATTTATCTGAACATATGGCTACAAAAAATGCCCATGAAAAAAGTCTCCTCAAAGGTTTGCTGTGGGTTCTATCGAGACACTATGCAAGCCTAATTCTCAAATTCTAATCCTCTAATTCTCTGGAAGCTTGCAGTCTAACTATTACACAAGAACCACAAAGAGAGGGCAACAATAGGAGTCAGGAGTCCCTAAGCCCACCACTCTACTACCAGTTAAGAGAGATCACTGGGTCTTCAGTGCTGCAGAATCAAAGCACCTTCTCAGTGAGATAGGAAGGGGCACAAATGTATTTAAGCCAGAGAATCTAAATACATCCATGTGAAAAGAGAGAGAGAGAGAGAGAGAGAGAGAGAGAGAGAGAGAGAAAAGAAGAATAGCAAGAATGTCATCCAAAAGAGTCTAGAGTAGCTTTGAGGTGGTTTGGAGCCCCAGACAAGGGAAATTTAGAGAGTTTTTATGCCCTTTGAAATAGCTTTGTAAATGCTAAAGATTGAAAGTCCTTTTATGGATGTCTTTATTATTTACTGGACTGTGTGATGGATTTCCTGCAAAGATTAAACCTTGTGGGGCCCTAGGATTTACTGAAGTAACACAAAAACATTATTTTTCCTATCCTGGGTTCTCCCTGGAAAGCTAAGCTCCAGATAAGGGATTGTGTGCAGGTTGTTTACCTGGGAGAAGGTTCTAGGGTATAGAAATGAGGGACCTGGCAGAGGGAGGAAGGAAGGAAAGTCAGTAGAAGGTGTGTAATCAAGGCTATTACTGAGCACCTGGAGCTGAATCCCACTTGGGATTTTAGGAACATGTAAAAAAAAATCTCAGGATTGTCTACCTGATGATCAGCCAGAAGAGGCATTCAACTATCCGTTCCCATCGCCCATTGCTTGAGGGGCACACTGGAGGCATTATCTCCCTCATATGTCAGGGCTGTGCACATGTGAGTGTTAAGGGGGCTCCCATTAATGTCCATGTCATAGAAACCCCAAACCTCTTGAGGCAGGAGGCTGTCAGCCTGAGAAGCTGGCACAGACTGTGGGTAGAAGTAGAGCTGAGGTCAAAGACGAGGCAGGATGCCAGAGGCTTCTATGTTACTATCACCAAGAATTTGGACCAGGGCCCTGAGTTCACCCAAGAAATGACTGAGATACAAAGACAGGAAGGGTAGGCAGCCTTAGGTCAAATTGTGGTGGAGGGACACGCAGGGCCTCCTACTTTCCTTTAAGTGCCCTCTCCTACCTGGATGGGGCCCCTGACCTGTCCACCCCATGCCAGCATCACTCATGGGATGGCAGCTCTAGGTACCCCCACCACATGGCCCCCTCTCTTCAGGGATCCCCTGCCTTATTGCCTGGGTCTTAGATCCCCCTATAGTCCCACCAACTGCATTAAACCTCCCATTCCTTACTGGGAGAATCTCTACTTAACATTACAAGGCAAAGTTAAAATTTAACTATCTCATGTGGTTGAGTCCCAAATAAGTGACTCCACGGTGGAATTCCAGGTGGGTAAGTCCAAGGAAGAGAGATCTGTAGCAGTGCTGGGAGGAGGATCAAAAAGCTAATGAGCTTCCCTATCCTGAGGAATGCCTTGATGGAGCCCTACACTGAACACATGGTTTCCTAAATCCAGCTCAGTTCATGTGACAGGAGGGGAATACTTCCTTTCCTAGCCTGTGTTGTCTGTTATGAGTTCTCTTTAGTTCAGAGAAGGGAGCAACATGTACTGCTTTGGGGCTTCCTGTATAGAGAGGGTAGGAATGAGGAAGTCCAGAGAACACTGTCCTGGGCAGCTGCCAAGTCTCTGAGCACAGAAAGGCACATGGCAAGAAGTTCCCATCCTGCACACCTATAAGTGTGATGGATACCTTCCCTCTGGGACTTAGACAGAAAAGGGCCTCCTGCTTGATTTAAACACTTGGACCTCTCCTCTTGACTCGTTCATCTTGTCACCTCTTACATAGGCTTTGCCACTGACCTTGGAGGAATATAAACCAAAGCTGGATCAATAATACAAGATGCTGGTCCCATTAATTTCATTTACTGTGACTCTGGCAAGCAAGTTAAAATGTGATTTGTCCTGAGGGGATTTTTATTTTATTTTTTTCCCTCGCTTTATCTTTTAAAAAACTATTAGTTTGAACCCTGTCTTAATTATTAACTCTAGTTTTATCCTAATTTGTGCTTCCCTTGAAACAATTTCCAAAGGGTCCTCTTTCTTAGAAGGAAGCCCAAAAAGGAGACCGTGGGAACTTTAGAAAAATTGAGTTCTGTTTTATCAGTCAGGGTTCAATGAGGGAAGCAGAAACCCTTAAAAGTAGGTAAGTGTGTTGCGAGTGTGCGTGTGTGTGTGTGTGTGTGTGTATGAGAGAGGAGAGAGAGAGAGAGAGAGAAAGCAAAAAATAATCAAAATGGTTTTGCCACCATAATGAAAGTACAAATAACAGGGACAGGGACAGACTTCACGGATCATCTATGCCTTTTATTCAGCAGTGGAGTCAGTTAGGCATTGGAGGGGCTCACTTTCTAGGGTAGAAAATGGCCCCTGGTTACAGGAGGAATCTGTGCTCATACACTGAGAGATGACATAACCACTGAAGACTTAACAGAACATATCAGTTTGGGCATTCAGGAAACAGGTTGTGAGATTTTGAAATTTGTTTTACTGGGCAAGGATGGAGGGTCCAGAGTTCAGCATTCAGTGCTTACCTCTTTCCCTCCAGGGTGTATTGTACTGTCACTGGAAAAGGATTTATTTGGGGAAAGATCAATGTTTTGGCTTCTTCCCAGAGAGCAAAGTTTTGGCTTCTCTCTTCCTCCTTCCTCTGGTCACACTGTCTTGGGGGGTTTATCAATTCCGTATCCTTCAGATGGGGGGGGCACCGATAATGCCCCAGGGATTGACCTTTCACCATTGTGGTGCTGATTGCAGAATCTCTGTAAGGCTGTTGTGTTTGTATCTGATGCTGCAGTTTGAAGGCCTAGACATTTGGAACGGGCAGGTAAAGTAGAGGAGAACAAAGTTAATCTGGAACCACAACATGCAATAGAACCTGTGAGGAAGGACAGAAACTAATGTCAGTTCTTTGCCTCTGACTTCATAGCATCCTTCAGGGGAAGCGGGCACCCCCTGCCACGGAACTGACTGGCAAGTTGGAGATGTCAAAGAAGGATCCAGGGGAAGGTGGAACTGCTGTAGGTCTGACTGCTGTCCTGCACCAACAAGGCAAACCAGCTGATAAATAACAACATTGGTAAGGTACAAAATAGCTGCTACTTCACATCCGCCCTCCCATCCATCTTCTGGTCAACCTGACCAGAAACCCACAGGAAAAGGTGTTCTGGGAAATGTAGTCTAGCCTAGCCAAATTGACCTATTTCAAAGCCAGACATGCCCTAAGCAAAATAATAGTAAATTATTGTTTGGCAAAGTCAGAACCACCATCATTTGAGCAGCGTGCCAAATGCTTTATGTGAATTATTTAATCTCATAATAGTTTTATGAGAAAAGTATTCTCTTCCCATTTTACAGGCGTGGAAACCAAGGCAGCATGTTGTTATGACTACTCAGCACTCAACACTATTTTCTGATATTTTTTCATGTCTCTAGTTCTTTGTCACTACTGAAATTCTCCTCTCTTTTTTTGCTGTTTCCCATATTGTTTGAAATAGTTTGGATTTGACCAGAAATAATGGTCATACCGCAGAGTCAGCTGGTAAAGAGTTATATGAGTTCCTCAGATGAGCAGAATAAGGGATAAAAGAAAAGCAGTCATGGCTTTCCTCACTGATTCATAATTTCTATTACATCAGGGCTGCCTATGGCTGCAAAAGTGGAGAAATGATAATATTGACTTTCATGAGTCCCTATTTTTTTCTCCTGAAAACCGGCTTCCCTGATCTTCCTGCTTTTATATGCATTAATGTTCTCCAATGTTTGGAAATATCAAACTGGCGTTTGTGATTTTCGGAGAGAGACTATGAATCATCAACAAAAATAGTCCCAAAAAGGAATTGGTTAGAAGGGTCTCATAATGAATATTTTTACCACTACTTCTCCTTTGCCTTTGATTGTTTCTTGGCCAGGGCTTTTAACCTTGCATGTCTCAAGAGAGCGGTACAAAGCTTTTGTATATGACATGTGCTCTAAGAGCCAAGAGGACAGGGGGTATGTTTTAATTTGATTAACTCAGTGTATCTTTTTAACGATTTTAATGCTGACATTGGTAAATTGCAAAAGAACTGCTGAAGGTTAACTTTTGGAGATGCCAACAAAAGATGACTGGTGATTTGTTCTCATTCTCTGGCACTACAAAATTATCTTTGTCTCTAAGTTCAGCTTTTGCCCTAGTTTAGTGGATGATAGTTTGAGTAGCTCCACCAATCCCAATTTCTCCATTCTCTTGTCCAGAGTCAGTGCTTCTGTGTCATTTTAAGTAGATTTGCACAAATTAACCTTACAAAGTTAATGTTTAATTTTAAAAGCTGCACTTTTTTTCCCCTTATTTCCATTTTGGTTAGCAGACCAGATGCTTTGCCAAATTTACCCTCAGCTAATTGCATAGTTCAATGTCCTGAAATGTGCCCTTGTTTGCTTAAAACCTGCTGATTTGCAAAAGAAATTGTTCCAGGAATGTGGGTCAGTGTGGACGCTCCCATGGAGCTGAATTGACCAAGAATGAGCCATGCAGCCCTGGCTGGGGCACTGGGTGCTTATAAATTTGCAGGAAGAGAGGATTCTCCAGGGCAGGATTTTCATTCTAAGGATAAGACTGCTGGAGGTGGGGGAGAGCTGGGGCCTGGAGACATGGACAAAAATCAGTTTGGCTCTGATCCACCTTTGGAATCCCCTCAAGCTTTTCATCTTGAGCAAGCCTTGGATCAAGATTGAAATAAAATGTTAATGCACAGCCAGAGGAAAATAATTTCAAAATCTGACATTTGCTCCGCCTCTGTCCCTAGAGGCACTCTGATCAGATGTATGTGAAGTAGGAATGATCTTCCAGTGTGATGAGAATAAGGCTGAAGTTGCTCAGTTACAGTCTCTTGCTTGTAAATCTGGAACCTGATGGTCAGAGGTGTGTTCCTAAAGATCGACTTGGCCTGAGGCACATCGCAATACTCTTGCCAGCTCCCACTCCTGCTATCAGTGGAATGAACTGAGAGCAGACTGGAGGAGACTGGGAGGGTAGGAGAGAACCCAGAGAGACAACATGGATGCTGCTCTGGTGGAGGGGGGCAGCATTCGAGGGGAGAATGTAATGTCTGGTCACCTTGGTGACTGTGTGGCGTGTTGCCATTGAACAGGTGGGTCAGCTGTGAGCACGGACCCTTACTCAGGATATGAAGAGACAGCACTAGTCTTAGTTATACCATTCTCCAGGTGGCTGCCAGGTTCCTGCCAATCCTGCCACCTGGCCACCTTTCTCTTAACAGATATGCTTTGCTGACCTAGGAGGCAGACGCTGAGGGGTCACTTACTGCATCTCCTTGGCTCTAATCATCCCCTAGAACTTGTTTTACTCCTTAGAAGTTTAGTCACTTAATAATTGTGTTAGTTCCCAAAAGCTACCCAACAAATTACCACATATTTCGTGGCTTAAAACAACACACATGTGTCATCTTATAGTCATGGAGATCCTAAGTCCAAAACGGACCTCGCTGGGCTAGAACACCTTGTTGGCATGGCTGTGTTCCTTTCTGGAGCTCTAGGGGAAAGCTTACTTTCTTGCCTTTTGCAGCTTCAAGAGGGGTCACATTCCTTGACTTGTGGCCTCTTCTAGCTTCAAAGCCAGCCTTGGCTGCCTGAGTCTTCCTCACATCTCATCATTCTGACACCCACCCTATTGCCTCCCTCTTCCTCACTTTAGGACTCTTGTGATTACCTTGGGTCCACCAGGATGATCCAGGGTGCTGTCCTTATTTTAAAGCCTGCTGTCCAGCAAGCTCATTTCCATCTGTCGACCTTCTTCTCTTTTGCCATGTAACTTAACATATTCACGGGTTCTCAGAATTAGGATGTGGACATCTTTGGAAGATCACTACTCTGCTCACCATCATTGTAAATCCTCACCTTTCCCAAAGTGCTTTTACAGACTTCATTTGACCCTGAAAAATGTCTGTGAGATAGGTGGGTGAGTGGGAACATCCTAAATAATGCAGAAGGAAGCTTACATTGGAGTCAAAAACCACAAATAAACCTTGCTAGTAGTCTAACCCAAGTTTACTTGGAAATAGGGTAGAACATAGTTAAGTCAGAGGCCACACTGTTCTGTTTATTTCAAAGCTATCTTCTTGATGACAGCTAAAGAGGAAGGGCATGGGGAAAGCATGGCTTTGTGTGGCCCGCTGTCAGGGCTGGGTCCAGGTCCAGGTGCTGTGCTCATACAAACTTGATCTCTTCCTGAGTCTTTGATTCCCTGTTTTTGCCTTCCTAAGTGTCTTTCTAAGTGACCAAGATGATAATCTTAACACAGATAGCCACAGGAGAAGGGTATGACCCAAATGCAAATCTACTTGTATATATTAAAATCAATTCCATAAGTGTGGAATGGAAAATGAAAACCAAAGTTCTGACACTGACCTTGTTGAATTTTCCATAAAGGAGGAAGAGATCATTTATAATAAACCATCAACATATGGACAAACTCTTCATTAAATTAAGGATGAGCTTTTATTAATAATAATAATAATAAATTAAAATAAATAAAAGAATAAAAACCCCTTGCTAGTCAGGATAATCCTAAAAGCAACTAGTATGCATTCTGTCATGTATAACTAATTAGAACAAATAAAAATCAATTAATTAATTAATAGATATATAAATAAATAAAATAAGCAACTAGTAAGGGAGAATTCAGGCTGCCATTCCATGACTGTAATTCAAATACACAGGACCCAACTCTCCCCACAAGCTCATTTCCCTCTGAAGATTGACAAGAAGCTCTCAGGAATTGGATCCTGAATCTAGGGAAGTCAGGGAAGAAAAACCAAAATCCCCAACCTAGTAAGAGGCTGTTTGCAAAAGGTTTACACTGAGCTCCTGTTTGTGAGCACTTCCTCTCTGTTTTATTCTGTTTTGTTTTGGAGTGGAATTAAAAACTTCCTCAACCTTCTACAACATCTCTGCTCAGAGGGCAGATTTTAAAACAAGACAGGGATAACACACACACACACACACACACCCTTTTGGGATGCTGGGTTCTCTTTCGTCAATAATACAGGGAATCTAGTCTTCTGCCAAGGATTAAACTTGAAAACAATAGTGCATTCCACAGGCCCCTGTACCAGGGGACACCAGGTGGGCAGCACACACGTCTTCCTCTGAGGTTTGAAAATGGTTCAGGTATCTTGGAGTGCCCAACATCTCGGAAAGCAATTATGATTGAACACACAAGGGTGGGGTTCCCCAGGGGCGAGTGTGACTTTGATTCTTCATCTTCCAGCTGCAAAGCTTTGCTGTCTCAATTACTTAAAATGACAAAGGATGGAATGTTTTCATTGGAGAGTCCCAACACTGTTTCCAGCATATTTTCCACTTGCCTGACTTTGCTCTTGGCCCTGAATGAAGTAGAAGGTGGAGTTTTCTGTTCTGAAATCATAAAAATCTCTTTACTGGCATGCATGCAGTCAGATCTGCTCTTGATATTGCTCATGTTATTAACTGCAGCTGGGTTTGCTGTGAGTGAAATGTTTTTGTCTTGGGTGAGGATCACTGTTGACTCGTGATGGCCTGGACCCTGCGATTGGAAGTGGACATTATAGTGAGGGGCTTGATTATTCTTGTATTTTTGTTGTGTCTTTTTACTTTTAAATCCGTATGTTGCTTTGGGCTTGTTTGCAAAGGGAAAAAATATTTGGCTCATTTCATTTCATGCAGTAAAGACAGGAGCTTACTAGGGGCTTGGGAACTGTTTTTGTAATTTAGAGGACTGTTTTTATAACCTAGCAGACTAAAGTTTTTAAAACAATTTGGTAAGCCTTAAGTATTACTAAATTTCGTGTGATAAGAAGCCACACAGGAACACCTAAAGTATGTTTGCACCTTACTCTTTATTTTTATTTATTTAATTTTTTGTAGTTGTAGATAGAATGCCTTTGTTTATTTTTATACAGTGCTGAGGATAGAACCGAGTGCCTCATGCATGCTAGGCAAGTGCTCTGCCACTGAGCTACAGCCCGAGCCCTGCACCTTACTCTTAACTCTATTACAAACCAAAACAAAAAAATAAACAAAACCTTGCAGCAGTGTTAT